GTTTGAATAAGAAAATTTTCGTTCTGCTCTACAAAGTTTTGTCTTCATCGTGACAAAGACCTATTTAACTGCTTCTTTGCATTTATTTTAATTAAAAAAAGGTGTGTCGCTAGTCGTATGGTGCATTCACAACTCCATTACCATCATGCTTGCATGGTTTCTGCCAGGGTCTCTTCTCCTTCATTGTCCAAAATCCTCCTTTTTAGCTGAACTAAACGATAAGAGTCGGCAACGAGTCTACCAATACCCGTCGGATCGATTTCACATATTAAGGAGGCTTCTCTGATTAAGTCACAGAAAACCGCAACGAGTCTACTAAAAACGTTTAAAAGTCATCCCGCTTAGTGCTTTGATTGTGTGTTAAAAATCAAGATACGTGCAATATAGGACAGCCGGATAACTCAAGACTAAAGATTTCAAAACCCGTAAATCTTTGTTGTGCACAGGCACAAATATGACCCTGAAGTCCTGAACTTTCTCTGATAAAATAAGAACCCGGATTGCAGATATTGTAACATATTCATACTTTGAAGGACAAAACCCAAGACCTTATGTTTCTTAATAACCTTGCTGAGAAATTGAAGCTGAGTAAATTTCAGAAATGGCAAAAAAAGAACAGCTCCAGATGTATAGAGTAAAAGCCACCTCACGTTTTGATGTATTAGTTACTAAGATCTCTGGTGCTCGCACTTGCATTTTAAACGACAAAACAGAACAGCTCCAGATTCCTGCCAGAAAATGTTCGAGCATAATCTGAAAATGTTTGGGTCGGTTAACAAAAAAGCAGCAAGGATGGGCTGCATGCACACAAACGGAGCTACCATTGGCAACGGTTCATCTCCAAGGAAAATTGTCTTTTTCAATTCCAGGAACCATAAAGATAGAAAACCTCAATAAACAGGAAGGGTTATCTGTTGAGTTAGCTCCACAGTAAATGTCAGATCCCCATTCCACTGCTGATTAGGGTGAAAGATGATTTTCCATCTCTTGGCTATTAGTTAAAAGACAGCCCAATACCCAAATTTGTCAATGCTGTACCAAATTATTTCTCCAACTATGATTTTGACATTTGACAACTCTTGCTTTATAGAATAATATTCCCCTGATCCTGTATCCCAGAATAATGCCAACTATATGCTGAACTCCTAAACTATTAATAAAAAGGTGGGATCTGTGACCTTTACTTTTATCTCATTTTACACTGTTTCTTTCCTCTTCCTCCTCTCCTAAGCTCCCAAACTACTTGCATGGTTGATTAGCATTTTTTTAAGAAGTTAATATCCTAAACATTAAGAAAATAAACTTTTCATCGATAAAAGATATGGCCAACTGTACAAACAAAACCATCATATGCTCAAAAATAGGATCAGAATTGCAATTCTCATAAGCACTTCAATCCATTACTCTCTTGCCTTACCCCCTTCTGTTCCTGCATCTCCTGAACATCAGAAGATCTAGGTGCCGCAAGATAACAGCTAATAACAGAAAGACATTACAAGGGAAGGACAACTACAAATTAAAATATCCCTTGCTAAACAAATAGCACGTAGGGCAGCTGGTCTAGAACCACAGCACGCTATACAAATTCAATTCCTATTCCAAATGCTAACACATGGCATTTATGCCCTGTCAATATGGCATCACCCTCTAAACCTACATTTAACACACAATGCAGAAGATTTTGGTTTCAATTGTCATTGCACGACCTCCTATTGCCAAAATCCTTCAGTGACTTCAAACGAGCGTTTACACCAAGATTGAGATCTAAATCATACTGTAATTCCAGATAATACTCCAAGTCATGACAATTAGACTAGTCAAAGCACATGACTAATGCATCTCGATGTACTGAACTGAACCAAACCTACCAAAGGAGATGCATAGAAAATGAGATTGGAAGTGAAGAAAATACAAAACCCAGGCCATAATTACCAAGGGGACAGGACTAAAAGCAGTATCTATGTTTTAAAGAGCATATTATAATCAATTATCAAGTGGTAATAAAAAGTTAGCAACTATAAATAATAAAAATGTGCTGCACTAATTTTTCTTAATTGTCATCATATAGGAACAAGCAAGCAATCAGAGGTACATTAAGCGAATTATAACACCATGCCACAAACACAAGCTCTTCACACAGAAATATTCTGCTAATATATTCTTAGCAGGTCTTCGAACCTAATTATTACCCAAATAAAGACATCAAGAAGTGATAGCATAAAGGAACCCCAAATACCAGTCATTGCATTCATCATCAGGACTAGAAACTACATGGTTAAGTGACGTATCACCTCCCAAAAACCAACTAGTACTAGTCTCCATGGCGACTCTTCCTGCTTTTCTTCTCAGACCTCCTTTTATCTCTGCCAACCCGAGGATCATCAGAACCAGTATCATCAGAATCAGATGTTGAAGCTGTCCTCCTGCTTCTCCGCTTGCGTCGCCTATCACCAGAATCCTCAGGAGAAGCATCAGAGTAATCAGACGAATGCCTATGACTCCTCCTCCTCCTCCTTTCCTTCCTACTTTTCCTCTTCTTCCTCCTCTTCGATTCGTCCTCCTCATCAGAAGACTCGTCATCATCCCTGTTCCTCCTCTCCTTCTTCCTCTTCCTCCTCCTCCTCTCCTCATCCTCGGAATCATTATTCTCCCTCTTCCTGTTCCTCCTTTTCCTTGACCTTCCCCTCCTCTTCCTCATATCTTCCTCATCCTCATCATTATCATCATCCTCTTCAGCCTTCCTCCTTGAGCCTACCTTCGCTTTCCCATTTACCTTCTTTCCATACTTCTCCGCAATAATCCTCTCCATCTCCGAATCATAATCTGAATCCGAACTCTCGCTATCCTCCTCCTCCTCCTCCTCGTCTTCACTGCTCTCCCCGCTCTCCAACCCTACCTTTTTCACAAGCCCCTTAACCTTCTCCCCCTTCAATTTCTCCAAAACCACCTCCCTAATCACATCATCGTCAACATTCCCCCCTCTATTCACATCCTCCCTGACGCTCAAAAAATTTCTACACTGAAAAGTCAAGTGCCCAACTCTCCCACACTTTTTACACGACCCACGAGCCTCATCCGAATTAGAATTCGTAATCCGGGCTAAAGCCAGCAAACCCTGGAAGCTAGCATAGGCATTTTCAGGCTCGGGTTCAGCAGAATCGGAAACTTTGCTGGTCGTCGAAGCTTTCTTACCATCGTCCTTAGCCGTGGGTGCATAAGGATCGTACCCAATAGCGCTCTGCCATATACCGTGAGTCTGGAGGGCAGCGCTACTGTGCACCCGGTTGTTCGCCGGCATGCGAACCCTTCCTGCTGTGGCCGGCATCCTGATTCGATTCTATTGCTACAGAGAAACAGACGTCTGCAAAAAATTTTTCAGGGATGATGTTAGGGTTTCTTTCTCCTTTCCTTTTACTGGAAAAAACAATCTGCGGATTCGGAACCCTAATTGAGTTTAAATTTGGTATTGGAAATCGGAATGAAACCGTCATAGTGAGAAGTATAGCTTTGGACGCTTACCTGAGGAAACTCGGAGAAGAATGAAGCCCGATCGGATTCTAACTTTGAAACTCGACCGCAAGGACGGGTTGAACAGAGGATTAAATGGAGAAACTGATCGTACATTGATCTTACTTGAAGGAGTAAGAGAAGGAGATCTCCACGACGTCGTATAGTCTTTGGCGGTGAAACTCGTCGAAAATGCCTTTTTATCCCTTAAAAAAAAAAAGAATAGGGACAGGAGAGTGGTTTTCTTTTGTATATTATTTTGTATTTACAATCGTATATGTTGAATTAGGATAAGGGAGAATACGTAGATAGAATTGCTCTAAACTCACCAAATACTTACAAATGGTTGGAAATTCACTAAAAACCAATCCATGTAATTATTAAGAGAAGGTATTCTCTCTTATATATTTTATTTAAATTGATATTTTCTTGAGAAGCATCACCTTTGTCACTTTCTTTTTTCTTTCTTGAATGACCTTTATTTAATGAAAAAGCCTTAATGTTATCTTTTTCCGCGCTGGTGTAAATAAATTGTATCACTTAATGCATTATCAAAAGCTCCCTCATCTTTAAAGATAATTACATCATTTTAATTTTCCACTCCCCACTCATCACTCCAAAAAAAAAAAAAAAGAGCTAAACTCCTTTAAATTACTATTTTTAAAACAAAAATAATTAAAATCTTTTTGGTAGTTGCACCCACACATATTGGATGTGCTTAAAGCACTAATTCTAAATATAACTCAAATCATTAGAGGAATATGCTGAAGAGAAACAACTAATTAGTAGAATTTCACGAGCAACAGAAATAGAGAAGGAACTATAGACAGTACATAAAAGTGAGAGCGGGCGGCAATTGGTGCAAACATTTTCTATCAACTTTTGAACTTTAAATTTTATTCTTAGAAAAATTAAATTTTTACTCTAATCACTTAATTACATTTACCAACATAAATCTCTAATAACTATCCCTACATATTGCAACCATCAAATTACTCCTATCTTTTTTTTTATTAAAGAAAAAGTTACTTATAAACTAAAGTTTGTTAATGAAAAATTCTTATAAAATTTATTTGTGTAAATATAAAATCTACAAATTTATAAAAAAATAATTTTTACAATATATAATGTTAGACGATCACTATGTGATGTAAACATACAGTATCATTTTTTTTAAAATTTGTTTTTTACCTTTAATTATGAGAGTAAAATGGTCCCAATTTATTGTGGGGCAACCCTGCAATAACAGCATAGTTATCAATTCACATTGTTGCCCCCTAAAGCAACTTCCTCTTTCTGTACCATCATCCGGAGGAGAAGCCCACCAATTCCTCATGGACATAGAAATGGTTTAATATTTCAAATATTAATAAAAGGATGTGATAGAAAATAAAATTTTATAAGGACATAATTTCATATATGTAATTTTTATACACTTGTTGAGGTGTGCCTCAATCAGTAGTTACTTTTAAATTACACACACATTAGATGTGTCACTAGTTAAACATAAATTTTGCAAGAAGGGCCAGAAACATCATCATCATCTTTCCAAGACATAGATTAAAAACAATTACTTGAATCATGTAAATGGCATGTTATACTTTACAAGTTAGTGTGTCCATCTATGATCCGTCCAATCATTAACAGGAAGCTTCAGTAATTCCTCAAGAATTTTCATCCTTCCTCTTCCAAATTGAATTGAAATTGTTCGTGTAAATTAAAATCCATGGAATCAAACCTGTGCTCTTCTGCGCGCATAGTGAACCAAACTCTCAACAGAACCCATAACCAGATTACCAGACTCCTGAAATCCCAAAGATGTCGTCATTGTCCCAAAGACATTCCATGGCTGTGCTCTCCCAGATGCTAAAACTGCCGCCCATCAAAGCCCTCTCACTTTTCAACTTAGCAACCCAGTCGGGCTTCCAACACACTCCACAATCCATCTCCATTATCCTTCATCACCTCCTCTCCTTCCGCAAGCTCTCTCATGCCCAATCTTTAGTCCTCAAATTACTTTCTTCCCGCATCTCCTCAACTTCATTCACAGTCCCCTCTCTCCTCTCCCATTTGACAGCCCAAAACCATTTCAGCTCTTGTTCTCTTTTCTATGAATCAATTATCAACGCTTATGTTCAATATCAGTCGGTGGAAAAAGCCCTTTTCTATTTTCATGAAATGGTCAATAAAGGCCTTGCACCCACATCCAACACGTTTAACAATGTGCTGAATTTTCTCGTGAAGATGAGAAATTCTGACAAAGTTCGGAGCTTTTTTGATGAAATGAAAGAAAGAGTTGTCTTGGATAAGTATAGTTTCGGAATACTTGTTAAGGGTTGTTCTGATATTGGTGATTTGGATAGAGCTTTTGAGGCTTTGGGATGTATGGAGAAGATGGATTTGAAACCAAATGTGGTTATATATACTAGTTTGATAGATGGATGTTGCAAAAGTGGTGAGATTGAGAAAGCAAAGGAGCTGTTTTGTGAGATGGGAGAGTTGGGTTTGGCTGCTAATCAGTACACTTACACTGTTTTGATTAATGGATTCTTCAAGAAAGGGCTTAAGAAAGATGGTTTTGAGTTGTATGAGAAGATGAAGACTGATGGTGCATTGCCTGACTTGTACACGTACAATACTCTAATCCATGAATTTTGTAATGGTGGCAGAATTCTCAGAGCATTTGAACTGTTTGATGAAATGCATGAGAGAGGGGTGGCATGTAATGTGGTGACATATAATACTTTGATTGGGGGGTTATGTCAACATATGAGAGCGTTGGATGCAGAGGAATTGGTGGATCAGATGAAAGGGGGTGGCTTGAGCCCAAACTTGATCACATTTAACACTCTCATAGACGGGTACTGCAAAGCTGGGAGGGTTGATAAAGCTGTGAGTTTGTTGAATCAGATGAAGTCTTCTGGCTTAAGACCATCCTTAATTACCTATAATATTTTAATTTCAGGTTTCTCTAAAGTTGGAAATCTATCTCGTGTTATGGATCTGGTTCGAGAATTGGAGGAAAGAGGCTTTGCTCCGTCTAAGGTGACATATACAATTCTTATTGATGCCTTTGCTAGATCAAATGACATGGATAAAGCTATTGAGATGCTTTCTGGAATGAAGAAGGCGGGTTTGGTTGCGGACGTTTGTACTTATGGTGTTTTGATACACGGTTGGTGTTCAGAGGGTAATATGATGGAGGCTTTCAAGCTATTCAGATCAATGTCTGAGGTGGATTTGAAGCCAAATCATGTAATATACAATACCATGATCAATGGTTATTGCAGAGAGGGTAACTCTTATAAAGCCTTGATGATGCTAAAACAAATGTTTGAAAAAGGTATGGTTCCGAATGAGGCAAGTTATAACATGACGATTCAAGTTCTTTGCAATGACAGAAAGTGGAAAGAGGCTGAAAATCTTTGCAATGACATGATAAAGTGTGGTGTACAACCCTTGGTTGCTATTGATATGATTCATGAAGCTAAAGTTAAAGATTCCTAGATTACTGTTAGGCACTCTTCAGTGCCATGTGATACCACAGGAGCTGCAAAGCATACAATTCAACTTCAACTTGGATAGTTGGCAGATCATGAAAGGAGCACCAATCGGACCTGCTAATTAAGGGATTGAAGATCTTCAAACTGTGTGAGTTTACGAGGAGAACTAGGCTGTGCACGGGACAGCAGATGTTTAGCGAAATCATAATAAGTCTATTGTAAAGAATTTCTTAAACAAGCCTCAGGAGCGTAGGCGAACAATAAGGCAGGAAATTAAAAAAAGCCCTAGTGTGTTTTAGTAGAATTGAAGTAGTTTTGTTGGAACAGATTTTGTTCATATAGGGTATGATGGTTTATAATCCAGTGGCTTACTTAGGATGACAAATGCCGCAGTTGCTACAAGGCAAAAATTTTGAATTTTTTTTTTTTCGTATTTCTAAGGAATTGTTTACTAGGAAAGAAACAGGGGTGAGCTAGAATGGTTTATGGTCCAGCGGCTCACCTTGAATTTTCAAGATTTTATCTTGGATAGAATATTTTTCATTGTATGTGTAATATCTTCGGAATCACTTTAAGAGGTTTTCAGATTATGTCGTCTGTCATGTAATACTACTACGTTGAAGCAAGTGCTCGGCATGTACTATGACGCCAAGGAGAGGTAACAGGTTCTAGTATATCAGGAGAACCCAACATATCTGGCAGAGAGTTGCAAGTGAAACATATGCATTGATGTTGCCGGTGACCAACTGAAGGCTCCGCTTATTACACCATCCAATTATCTCGAGTCGAATACCCTCACTCTCCTGAGCTTGGATTTCTCCATAATCTAGTACAACTGAAAGCCAATGCAAGCACTTGCATATCAAAACCAAAGTAGTGCATTGAGTTTACAAGTCTGAGATGAGACTGTGCTAATGAGAAGTGATCAAGTGAAGACGGGGGATGCCTACTTATCTTGTATCCAGTTGCAGAAATTGAACAAGATTTTGGACGAGTAACAGTGGAGCCTACCACCATCAGAACGGTACAACTGATGAGGTGAAGAAGATTGTGAGCATGTTGAATGAAGCTGAAGTTCTTCAGAAGATGATGTCGGTAAGGAATTTTTTTAGTTTTTTTTTAAGGGAAAAGCAATGTTGAGCAATAATACTAGAGTACTGTTTTTTCTTGCTGTTCTGTTTTCAAAGATAACAAGTTTAATTGATGAATTCACATTCATGCTTTCAATTTGAATAAAAATCTTTCTTTCTGCAAGGCGTCTCTCTTTCCAAGAGTCTCACAATGGAAACTTTGACGGCGTGGAGTTACCGTGAATTTTAATATATTTACAACCAAGTTCTTTCCAGGCTTAAACTTTTGCCGCGTGGCTTATGTTCTTAGTTTGACCCCATTTGAATTCCCACACCCCCCCCCCCAACCCAACAAAAAAAAACCGGGTTGTTAATTGTTATCTGTAATTGAAATTTTTGCATGTAATCCAGCTTTTCGTATGTGGGCTTACTTATTTTTTGTAGATGTGGTTGTCAGTCCCCGCATTTGTATTTCTTCCTATCGTGAAAAGCTTGCTGCGACCTGATTTCTCTATTGCTTGCACAAAACTGTTGGGTCAGGAAAGGAGGCGCTTTCACTGGCGAGGTTAGGTGTGTTTAGCATGATCATCAATCTTCTTTTTAAACTTTGTCTAAAATATTTTGCAGATATCTTAGTGTTCTCGAATGCTTTCTACATTTTTAAGATTTGCCTTGACATTTTCCAGATTGTATTGTTCTCTAATGCTTCTTGATACAAGATTACATTGAGAATGCTTTTGGTTGAATTTCACATTGATGATAGATATTTTTGTTGTCATCAAATATCATTATTTTGACAGAATATCTGTTCATGTTCGGCAAAGTTTGTCAGAAACTAACTCTTTTTACATGGATTTACAACACTGTCATTTGTATTCAAGTACTTCTCCAGGTGTATTATTTTAAGTATATATTTGAGGCATTAAGGCCCTTTCTAGATGTTACTTTTGAATGAGGAGGTGTCAGAAGTTTTTATCTTGGCCTGTCATTTAGGCCTGATTTTTCTTTTCACAAATTCAAGGTTGGAATGCATTTTCTTCAGTTACTCAGCATTGATCTAGATGGCAGCGATTGGTTGTTTTATGTATATATCCATGAGTTTGGTTTTTGTCTCGCTCTCTTTAACGTATATTTTTTGTTATTTTCGTGTCATTTATCTTACATCAAATGAATACAGTGCTGAGATGCTAGTCAATTTGGGCATTCCTTGGTTATTCTTGACACTCTGAGAGAAGAAGACTTCTGTTAAATGAATCTAAAGAGGTAAACATATGTCATGGTGATACAGTATACTTTGGCTTCCCACTCATACCATCTGTCAGTCACTGGTATTGTACATTTCGTATATTGATCCAGTTTGTTGGAGATAAAGTTGCTTATGCCCTTTCCAAGGCTTGAAAGTGATTGCTTGTGTTGGGGAGACTCTTGAGCAGCGAGAATCTGGATCTACAATGGCTGTGGTTGCTGCACAAACAGAAGCTATTGCAGGTGAACATTCATTGCACCCAATTGTTGATAGTAAAGATTATTTACCCAAACATAGATACGAGAGGTCTAAAATTAGTATAGGACTATTCGTGATGAACTTGGTTTCACCTTAATCTCCAGACAACATACTGATTTCCCTAAAAATAAGTTTGAGGGACAAATTGTGGTTTTGAGGATATTGCTGGTGGACATGTTTGCAACTTGGGTCCTCTTATGTTTTATAAGTAATAAAAGCAAATTGTACAGACTTATCTTCCTTTTCAGTCACTCCCAAATGGAGGAAAGAACAAAACTTTGTGGATTGCAGTTTTTCAAAATGCACAGTGGTTGCCCTTACTGCCGCTTCCATTCGATGTAGCTATGTTCCATTTTTGTTTTTCTGTTTTTCTTTCTTGGTGATATATAATAGATGTCAAGCATTCTGTTGCAGATCGAGTTTTGAACTGGTCCAATATCGTCTTGGCTTATGAGCCAGTTTGGGCAATTGGTACTGGAAAGGTTGCTACTCCTGCTCAAGCTCAAGAAGTAAGTTTGCTATCTTTTGGTATATTTGATCAAGTTTCTGATTGATGAAGTTAAGATAATTCATCAACTTCTGTTTTGGTTCTTTTAGAGGGCAAGCAAGATGTTTGGGGAGATTTGCGTAATTGGACATTCTACAAATGGGGAACTCTCTCTTTACTGTGTGCTAAGAATAGTTTTTGTACATGTTCCATAAAAATCGGGGTAATTTTTAATAATAGAAATTTTTCGATTGGTGTTCTGAAAGTATAAGAGGTTTTAGATTATATGGCCTCACAAAAGCCTATAGTCGTTGCAATGAAAATGAGTACCCACAATTGCTGGAAGGTGATGTCCTTTTAGCATGCATATATATATATATATATATATATATATATATATATATATATAAAATGTTCAGCTTATTAGAAGATATCAACCTCTATCCGAGAATTGCATGTGTAGGTGAATTTGACACCTTGTTTTGTACTGTATTTGTGCATGAGTGATATCAGAGTTGTACTGCTCCTTAGCAATTGAACTGAGCTTTGAATAATTCTGAATGAATTTCTGCGGCAACAATTCTGATGAGCTTACGTGTTAGGCATATGATATGCTAGAGGAAAACTTCGTCCTTGAATGTGCGGCTTCATTGTTTGTTGTCTTAATCAGATTGTTATCCTTCTGGCTGAAGTGTGCTTATTAACTTAGTAATTCCTTTTCCAAATCATATTTAAGGGGTTTTTGGATTATTGTTTGCAAATTGTCTCTTTGGTGATTCATTTCAAGATTACTATCATGGGATATGTATATTTGTTCCAGGTTCATTCTGAACTCAGGAAGTGGCTACATGAAAATGCTGGTGCAGAGGTTGCTGCAACAACAAGGATTGTATACGGAGGTATTCAATCTATTCAAGTTTTTGCAAAACCTTAATTTGTGCTTCAAGGTTTCTCTGTGAACTCTTATCAAGTTCCAACCATCACTGATTTCTCCTTAAAAGCAAGTCTTCTACCCCTTGGGTTCCATTGTCCACTCCTGCATGCAATAGAACTTTAAAATGAGAATGTGGTTGGAATTTTAAGAAGATGGCATTTAAGCTGTCATAGAGTCTTTCCCCGCCCCCCAACCCAGAGAGAGAGAGAGAGAGAGAACTAAAGGTGCTTAGATTAGCAATGGAAACTCCACTACAGTTATTTATCTTTAGTTTGTTGTCTTCATTTATCAATGCTTGTTGCACCATGATAATTGAAGGTTCTGTAAATGGAGCGAACTGCAAAGAATTGGCTGCTAAGCCTGATGTTGATGGGTTTTTTGGTCGGTGGAGCTTCCCTTAAGGTTTGTTCTACTACTGTGTTGAGTATCACCCTTCCTCATGGCTGTCCTTTGAGTTGTTGTTTGCTTTAGCAGTGTTTACTAATGTTGTTTTGAATGTGCATGACAAAATCAGCCCGAATTCATTGATATCATCAAGTCTTCAACTATAAAGAAGAGTAGTCTCTGAAAGCAGGTATTGGTAGCATCTTTTTTCCCCCCTTGGTTTCTCGTTCCATCACTGGTGTAAGACCTGAGACAAAGGGTATCGTGTACATAAAAGCGTACTACCATTAAACTTGTTCAATATGACTTGCTTCTTTCATATATATTCTCATTTAAGCACTGGATAATTATGAATTACTATTGGTGTCTTAATTTGGTTGGGCCGTTTGGATTAAACTCAAAACAAGTGTTGCCGGAATGTCTGGTCCCTCTTTTTTAGTGGGGGCGACAACAGAAGAAAGGTCTAGTTCATCGGCAGAGAAAAAGACGTATCAGCATCCTCTGCCAACGAACATGAGATTGGCTGGTTTTTCCTGCTAAATCATGACGAGCAAAAAGTGTCGTTGATTGTAAGGGCTCTATCAGCCTTCTGCTATGGCTCCTCTTCGCCATTATTAGGTGTGCATAACAGTATGCTATGTTATGTAGCCGATTCGGACCGCAGCCATGATACCCCTCATGGTGTATAAGTCAGTGTGAGTGGCGAGGTCTTCCATTACATCACGAGTGGACGAGACAACATCATATCATCTCCTAGTAACGAACAAATTCAATATATTCTGCTGCAGGTCCCAAGTCAAACACCTCAAGTCAGGATTGATTTTAAAGTGTGTTGATGACATGATATGAAATAATAATGCCTCTGCAACTTCGTATAACGTTATGCACTTTGATTAATCCATTTTTATGTCATAGCATGATGGAAATTCTCATCAGTAGCTCTCGTTTTCAAACATTTAATGCTCTGATTAACCAAAAAACCTGTATCGGCGGAGGCAAATGGTGACAGTAATTGGGAAATGAGCGAGATTATGCAGACAGCGGCAAGAGTCGGTGCCGGTCCCAGGCCCACACTGTGGTGGGGACAGGACAGTGCATGCCACAAAACTTGGATTAACAAGCTTGAATAAAAGAAAAGAGGGCACATTGCTAGAAGAAGTTGCTTCGGAAGTGGACGCCATCAGCCCTTAAAGCCAACCGGCCCAT